TGATCATCTATTTTTACAAATTCATTATATGGAATAATGGTTCCAAATTTTTTTCAAGGCCTAGATCCTAGAATAAAATTGAAAGTTTTAACAGTTGTTTACTAAGAGTTACATTCTCTATTCTATATATCTATCATCAAGACTTTTTTTTTCAAAGATTTAGTTATTTGTTTGAAAGGCAGAGTTAGAGGGAGAGAAAGAGAGAGAGGGTTCACTTCCCAAATGGTGACAATGTCCAGAGCTAGGCTTTGCAAAAACCAGGAGAAAGGAGCTTCGTCTGGATCTCCCACGTGGGAGGTGGGCCCATGTGATTTGAACCATTTTCTGCTGCTCTTCCCAAGCCATTAGCAGGGAGCTGGATCAGAAATGGAGCAACTGGGACACAAACCAGTGCTCATATAGGATGCTGACAGTACAGATAGCTTAACCTTCTACTTGTTTGAAAAGGGAATGCTTCAGTTTAAGAACAGGTTTGTTATCACGGATATATCACTGTATGAAGATTTGGCAGGGCCTGAGAAGACTGTCAAATTTTAATCATCCCACAATATTATCATTATTTCTTATTTCAAGCACTGTTGTCCTGTGTTCTCAGCTATGCTAGCATAACCTGCTAAAAACAACTGAGTAAAATCCCAAAGAATGATATTTGGCCCATGCACGTGATTTGGTTGTAACTGGAGAAATCTGGGTGCATCATCCTTTAAGTAACATAAAGATTTTAATATTTTTATTATTAACTTTTATGAAAGAGTGAATTCTCAAGGTTTTATTTGAAGGCCCAGGAATGAGATAGAGTTCCTGTCCACTTTAAACAATGTGGCTTCTTCAGTCCATCCATGCATTTTTAAGAATGTCCACTATGTGCTCCATCCTGTGCTCACTGTTAGGATTCTATTTAAAAAAAAAAAAAATCCATTCCTGAAATTCCAAGCCCAAAGGTCAAGGTAGAGAAGGAAACGTAGGCCAATGAGTTGGGATGGAAGCATCAGGAACGGCAGGAATAACCATGAGATTCCTTTGCAAAGTTCACGAAGATGGAATGGAAAGGTGTTTTCTTGCAAAAAAAAAAAAAATTGAAAGCCACACAGGTTTTCACGATATCAATTTCCATGAACATTTTTTAGATTTCTCCTATCCCTAGATGTCAAAATGTTTTGTACCCAAATAAATTTTGACTTCTACTTCCCAGGAATTTGGGGGAATTGCCCCCCTGAGAAGGGAGACTTAGATTGTGAGTCTCAGAGCAAACATCTCAGAGGAAAGAGCATCTGAACAGTGAAAGAACTTTGAACTTCAATGTAGGGGGCGGCTGTTACAGAAAAATGGCTCACTGACTGTGGCAGGCTTGAGGAGGTTGGATGTGGAAGGAGATACACCGTGAGAGGTGGCAGGGACAGGCCCTGCAGGGGCAATGCTCTGGATTTTTGAGTTTTATCTAAAAGATGCAACCAGAATGTATCCATAAGCTTGCTTTGATTAGCGAGTGAAGAATGCAGAGGGAGGAAGCTGATGGTGGGACCATCGTTTGGGAAATCACAGTGTTGTCATGAGGATACAACAGAAGAGGCAGAAGAAAGTTGATTCACAGGGTTTTGCTTTGGTGGTCTGAACGGGAGGCATTGCCCTTTATTAGACAAAATGAGGGGAAAGAAACTTGGGTAGAAATCCCATTTTTCATGTGAAGACGTTGAGGAGCTGGTGTGATGGCTCAATTGGCTAATCCTCTGCTCGCAAGCTCTGGGATTCCATATGGGCACAAGTTCATATACTGGCTATTTCCCAGGCTATAAACCAGGGAGCTGGGTGGGAAGCGGAGCAGCCGGGACATGAACTGGTGCCCATATGGGATGTTGGTGCTCCACATGAAGGATTGGCGTGCTATGCTACCATACTGGCCCTTTTACTCAGGCTCTGCTGGGACCGAGGTGGCTCTCACATGCACTTCTCTTGGCCCTCTCTCGGAAGTCTCTTCTCTCATTTCTACTTGCTGTTGCACATGCCTTTCAGAGACAGCCAGGCCAGTTTAGTGCAACATTTCACTCCCGGTTGTTCCTATTATGCAGCTAAAGAGCCTGTCAACTCTTGGTTTATGTTTTGCTTTCTTTTCAACGACTTATTTTTATTTGAAAGGCAGAGTTACAGAGAATAGCAGAGATGGAGAAAGAGCTCTTCCATCCCTGGGTTTATTCCCCAGGTGGCTGCAATGGCCAGAGCTGGGTTGATCCAAGCTTCCTCTAGGTTTCACATGTAAGTGCAGGGTCCCGAGGCCTTGAGCTATCTTCCACCCTGGCGCTGTCATCTCTACCTCAAATTCTGCTTCCCGGAAACCCTAACCTGAAACAATATCCTAACCTGGGAGTGCTAATTCTCAGCTTACAATATTTTAGAAAGGGATAAATGAGATCACAAGTAAAGATGCCCAGGGACTATTGCATTATACTCTTTACACTCTTTATTGAGGCTTACTGCCCTTAGTGTTACTTCTATGGGGTGTGCACTCTCTCAGCATCTTCACACTTCTCTAGAACACTGTCCTTAGCTTGTTTCTATTTTGCTCCCCCCCCTCCCGCGCTCTGCATTAACTTGCAGGATGTGCCCTCAGAGGATATGCTCTGTGTGACTAGGGTCAGCTTCGTCAAATATGACAGGTGTAGCTGTGCAAGTCCTGGCATAAACAGCAGAGAGCCCATGCTTGGGTTAGTACTCGGCACTTGCACTCTTGAAGTTCCGAATCATTTTGTTATGAGGATCCTGATTTGTCACCTTTGCAGTAGGCTGTCTGAAGCAAATGTCACTGGTCTTGCCTCTGGTTGCCTGTCTCCTAAGAGATGACGGAGTCTCTTGGATTTGTCCTGCTGGTGACACCAGAGGCTTTGTTGCTGGGCTGATCTCTCCAGCTTCCCTGAAAACAGTCAAGTCACTTACACAGCCGAACATGCCTCTTTCAGGTAGAAATTGGTTTCATCTTTTATTTTCTTGATGAAGCTTCTCTAAAGACACACACACACAAACATTTCTTCCAAACTCTACTGCATCCACCGTGGTGTTTTACAGGAATGGACAATGGGTTCCCAATGATTATTGTTGATAGACTGACCCACTGAATGCCAGTATACAGTCACCTTTGAATCCTATTCTGCTGGGGTGTCCCTTGTGCACAGCTGGGCTAAGCTGCCCCTTGGGCCACCTGCGTCCATTAGCTGAGTGCCTGGAATCTAGTGCCTTCAATGCTGCCAAGCCAGCAACCCACAAATGCCCCTTGGAGGCAGAGGACAATGCCCCAAGGACCTGGGTTCCTGCTACCCACCAGGGAGACCTGGCATTTGCAGGTGTAGATTGGATGGGGGATCTTCATATGTATGTCTCTGTTTCTCTGTCGCTCTGCCTTTCAAATAAATACTGTGATGTTTAAGGTAATAATTCTTGGACTAACAATGTGGTATATCAGACCAAGCCTTCACCTGTGGTGCCAGTGTTCCATATGGGTCTAGGTTCATGTCCCAGCTGCTCCACTTACAAACCAGTTCCTTGCTTATGACTTGGAAAAGCAGCAGAGGATGGCTCAAGTTCTTGGGCCCTTGTGCACATGTGGAATACCTGGAGGAAGCTCCTGGCTCCTGGATTTGAATGAGCTCAACTCTGGCTGATGTAGTTATTTGGGGAGTGAACCAGTGGATGGAAGGTCTCTCTCTAACTCTACCTTTCAAATAAAAATAAGAAAATTAACAACAACTCTGCCCATTCATTCACATATGTCCCCATTTTATTCACTTGGCATGGGCATAAATTACCCTTACCATGCGTACCTTACACTCAGTCACCTCCTCTAACTTGCTGATACAACCACTGAACAAGAACCTCTGGGTCACACCTTGTTTTTCACATCCCTCAGAGAGCATTTTGCAGGTGGATACTACTAGATAATGTTAGCACTGTAATGATTTAGCTTCCGCTAATGAAAGAGGTCTGGGTTGGATTCTATCTTTGCCACTGTTAGCTCCTCCAAGGCTCTGGCTCCTCTATAAAAAGATTTACAAAGGCTGCCCATCTTTGCTGTGGGTAGTGAGACAAAACATGCAGAGGAGCATTGCTGGTGAGAGATCCATTCATCTACCCTCTCTGCCTTCTCAGGCAACAAGTTAGACCCGTTCACACCTCACTGCTTTTAGGTTTTGGTTTTCTTCAAATAAGTCTCGGAACCAGATTGTGAGTCATCTTTGTCCCAACTTGTATTTTACAAAGGCATAACTAATTATCATATAAGGAGCTACCAAAAGAGATGAGATGGCCTCCTTCACAGCATTAACTACTTCTCTTGACTTAGTTATTAAAAGCACCTAGCACCTATTTCCCCAGTAAGAGAGATTTAATGAGAATACATTCAATGCATTAAGCTACTCACTTAATAAACATTCCTGATTGTGCCTTATTGAAAAATTCATGGAAGGTGCTAGAAAAGGCGTCTGAATAACCCAGAGCAGGACTCTGCTGCAGGGATACACTCTTACAAGGGGTCCCAGTGCCTATGGAATAGGAACCATCTTACTCAACCAGCAAGATGTGAAAAATTGCTCGCATAAAAGACACATAATGGGAGTTCTACAGTATCACTGCCAAACACCTGTTTCTAATTTTTACTATTGCAGATGTATCAGTGAAATATACTGCAAAATTTCTGAAACCACAGGCAAATCAATGTAGAGATCATCATGACCTGTTTTCCTTTGATGTGCCAGTAGATATTTCAGAAGAAGAAAATATGAGATTTGCTTTAGAGGAAGCAAAAATATTTTAATTGGTAAGAATATATCTCTTCTTCTTTTTTACCCCAAAGGTTCTTCACATTCATTTTGTAAATGGGCAGAATTTGGCTACTGGAAGAAATGCTCAACTATTTATCATTCTTTGATCTCATTCTTTTGTATTGTTCACAAGGATCACATCAATAATAAATGCTGGACAGTTTGGATGCCAAATAAACACAGTTGTACTCTGTATTTTATTATGCATTTTAGTAGAAGGGTATTTTGAACACTGAGAAATATGATCTTAGTTTGTTCACAATTACTCTAATACATTCATACAAAACGATGATCACAAAAGCAATTACATCAGCTCACAATAGAAGGCACAGGACACCCAAGGAATACACAAATACACACAAAAGCACTTCAGGAAGAAAACTGGGATGCACTGAGCTGCTAAATTCCATGCTGGAATCCAAGGCAGATGAGTCATTCTTGGAAATGGAAAGCTCCATGATATCCCATCCGTGAACACTCAGCATGACCATAAATGGACCATCTAATAGCCAAGGGAGCTGCCAGAGAGTCAACTGGTCTCCATCTGGATGCCAAAGGCAACAGGTAGGGCACTGAAGTTGTGTTTGTTCATTTGTAAAGATGTGACTTTTGATTTCCACTTAGATAATCTGTATAAGGGAACCTAAGGAACACATAAAACATAATCCAACTACCACCTCAGTACAGAAAGTATAAACACATGCTTGCATTTAACTGTATATAACTTAGGCCTTCACTTCCCCTGTCTGAAAGATTTCCTTACTATCATATCATCATGAAGTTAAATCTATGCCCATTCTTAGAAAGGAGACAAATGTCCTGTCTGGTAATAAATAATTAGTATAGGCATACACATTTTCTGCCTAAATCCCTTTTCCAAATTAAGTTTGACCTAAAAAATAATTTCTGTAATTTAGATTACATGGAGATAGCTCTTTGAAGTAATTTTTAAAAACTAATAGGAACATTAGGAAGACTCACATCATAAGATAGAAAGATTAAAAACTGATCTCTCCAAAATAAATTCTTTCATAGAAAAATGCATGACCTTGAACCACTTAAGAAACAAAGATACCCAACAGATAAATAGTTGATGAGAGCAGAACTCCATTTACTTTTATATGTACAAGCTACTTAATTTACACTTGTAAAATATGACAGCAAGCTTAAGAGTATTTCGAAAAATGTTGGCAACACATCCTGAAAGATGATTTATACAATATGTATACATGGAAAGCAAACAGAAATACAATCAATGTTTTTATTACATTAATATAATGTATACCGTGCTCACATCTACATAGCAAATTCACAGTATTCACAGTTACAAAAAGCTATATGTAGAACAGTCCTTTCTTTTTATTATGATTTACATGATTTCCAGAAAGAGCCTTGAAAGCCTAAGACACACATGCTTACCTCTATGGACTATAATCACCTACATCTTAAATTGGACTCTTTAACAAGATGGCTTGCAGAGCTGTAAGCACAGCTTGCTTTCTGCTCAGTCCAGCTCAACTCACTACTCCAGGTGCAGTCAGATCCACCGCAGGCCATCAACCTTCAAACTCCCTTCTGTCAAAGCTGGCCATTGTCTCAGTCACCCATGGCCCTCAGGCCTTTGAATGTGATGACACTTGTGACTAGTTTTTAATGTGTGTATGGTGGGGAGGTGTAATGTAAAGAATCCAAGCAAAAACAAAACCTGTGCCTTTAGAATGTCCTGTTTGGGCAATAGCATTTTCCATTGCCTGTTAAATTGGAAACCCTCCAAAGTCCTAAGACCTGCCTTGCAAAAAGCAAGAAGGACTCCCAGCTGTACCTGAATTCTTCTTGCAGACCATGAACATCTTCATGCCCCTATTGTTTTTTCTCCTTTCACTTTCTTGAAAAAAAATTTGGAAGATTTATTTAGTATTTTTCAAACATTTCCCTTCTAACATGGCAGGAAAGCTGAAGATTTATTTTCTCCTGTTCTCACAAAGGCAAGAAGATGTGAGCATTTATATTGGGTTCTCTTTCTTCCAATAAACCTTTGAATAAAGCTTAAGGAAAGGAAAAGTCAGCCCTGGAAGAGCTGAAAGTATACCCTCTATCTGTTAATGTTGTCCTTTAGTTTTCTTTTCCTTTTGTTCTACCACAAAATTCCATGAGGACTCAGTATTTTCTTCATGCATTATTTTGCATGCAAATAACCACATCAACATCCTGGCCCTATTCCTACATTTTCCAGATAAATTACCTGCCATGAAATACCTTCTACAATCATTTTACATCTACTTCCTCATTGGCTGCTAACCATTGGCTCTCCACTATACAAGAACCACTTCAGTTTATCAAGAGTCTATAGGGTTAAATACACAATAATTTAAAGCTGGTTAAATGGTGAAGGAGCTACACAAGATTGTTCCCTTTAATTTTATATTACTCCAAAATATACATATGTACACACATCCACATATGGGACAAATTTACAGTCTATAGAAATAAGCCATAGATAACCATTCCAATCATACATGTACAGATTCACATTTTAATAGCAAATCTATATGCAAGTAGAAATTACAATTTCACACATCTAAACTATTCACAAGCTGAAATACAGAATGTTTTCATGTTTGTTTTAGATGTATCATTCCTTGCAAGTCTTAGAAATGAACAAAGATGAGACCTAAACCTCAAGCTCTGTCTATAGTACTGCAAATCAATGTGGTATTATTTTTACTAACAAATTAGCCAACTTACTTACTCTATAAAAGGGTGATACATACATACTATATATATAAAACACAAAATGTAGAGACAATTGGAAGCTGTACAAAATACCTGATACCTTAGTATTTAATTCTGTATTGTTTGGGCCATAAGACCCTTAGCTGGTGCCTTCTTTTCTGATAGAAAGGTAGAGTCCCATCTATGTAACATCTACAAGTACAGAAAACAGGGCTGAATGAGAGGGAAGACACAGGTGGCACAGCTGAAATATACAAGTATGCTGTTTATAAATATGCATATAATTTAGCAATATCATATTGTCTGAATTCATTTCTCCTGCACAATTAGATTTACTGAAAGTGGTCTAGAATACAAAATATGGTAGTAGAGAACTCAGTTTTCACATTTACCCATTGGCAAAGTTATGAAAAGTAAACGCCTACAGATAATATATTGAATAGTATCAAAATTCAAACTGATTAGTGCTGAAGAATTTGAAGAACCTGTTCAAATAACTAAAGAGCAAAAATATTGAAAAGAAACCAATAGCTGCCTAAGAGTCTTAATAATTAGGAACCCAACACTCACCATGAGTATTGAGACCACTTTTCATTTGCTTGCTTAGAAACTTTGCCAGCTTAATTATACATATATGTAGACTAGGTATGTACAGCTGAACATAAATATGATTATTCATGAAAAAGATCACCATGCAAATAGTCATTACATTTATGCTGTGTACTCATCTAGTGGGTCGGGTCACTAGTACAGATGACATTTGTGACTTGATCGGGCTGTTGACATGCTCAGTGAAAAGTGTGGCTCAGAAACTCGGGGTCCTGGCCAGCATTCAGGCCCAGCGGCCACTGGAGGCAAAGCTTCTGCTGAAGGAGAAGTTGACTTCTGAGTTCTTGTACTTCCCCCAGGCCCCGAAAGGCACTACGACAGCAGTACTGTTATCCTCGGTGCCATACTGGATTGCCTGCAAGGTTTGGCAGGGAGGAGAGAAAAACATTGGAAATCAGAGACTGTGAAGAGAAAGCATCAGCAGTTCCTCCGGAAAGCCATAGTGGCGTTCCTGCAGTTACAGTCCAACTATGTCACAGCACCTGGGGATTCTCTCCAGCTGGATCAATGCCCACAAGGTTTATGGATCTGCACTTGGAATAACCAGTGGCCTCAAAAACCACTATTAACTCCATTGCACTGTAGCCACTATGGCAACAGGGACTTCTGTGGACTAAGATACAATGACATACAGCTCCAGAAGAAGATATGAGTAAAGTAATTAGCATAACAGTCTTTTACACACACCCATTAATTATTATTATTATTATTATTATTATTTGAGAGGCAGAACATTGAGAGAGAGAGAGAGAGGAAGAGAAGAATTCCCATCTGCTAGTTTACTACCCAAATGCCTGCAATGACCAGCACTGGGCCAAGGCGGAAGCTGGGAACTGGGAACTCAATCCAGGTCTCCCACGTGGGTGGCAGGAACTCAATGAATTGAGCATCACCTGCTGCCTCTCAGGGTCTGCAGTGGCAGGAAGCTGGAGTCAGGAGCCAGAGATAGGCATCAAACCCTGGCACTGGGACAGGGAGCACCATGGACTTAGCATCTTGAGTGCCACACCAAACACACACTCCTAATGTTAATAATCAGAAGTTGCCTATACTAATATTTTCCTTAAAATGGGTATTGACTTGGCTCCAACCAGTTTACTGGCTAAGTGCTGGGACTTAAGAACCTGACTAAATTTGAAGCCCAGTTCTGCCATGGGCTTCTGTATCTCAGTTTTCCTCATCAGTGACAAAGGACAACAGCTCCCGTCTCTTTAAGATTTTGTCATGACATAAATTAATCTCTATGATAGGAGAGTGTCTGGCACATTTCCTTCACATCAATTTTATTTGTGGAAATCTTACATGATTTAGGACATATGGAATCATATTATTCACTGTGTCACACTTAAGCTAAAACAAAGAAACCTTGAGCTCATGGTGGCCACTCCTGGCTGCACGGGGACCATGCAGCTGAGGTTGTCCTTCCTGTGCCTACCCCTTCTTGCCCTTTGCTAGCAGAGGCTCTGTCACATCACCTGTTCAATCACTGCATGGGCAGCTTCGTTGGGATCATGGCACTGATTGACAAAGTCACAGATCTCTTGGCTGTTCACCATAAAGTTGATGCCATCCGTGGTGAGGACAAGAAAGCTGTCATCAGCATGGTGGAGCTGCAGTCAAGGCCAAATGCATACGATTAGAAAACAGGCTCTACCTTAGGATAATCTGGGTCATTCACGAAGTTTTATCTGATTTGCTGTAGGTAAATGGGGAAAATGGAAGGTCAGCTGGTAAGGACAGCAAAGTAATAACAGCAGCAAACATCAAAAATAAACCTGTTTAGTAGTGCCACAGTGAAGGTAGCCAGATAGCCGAATGCTGGGAGGTGGTTAGATGTCATCTCCCTAGCAGGACTGCCTGGTTTGACCTCTGTATTAGAGAATGCCTGGTTGGAAGAGGCAAGTTGATCTCTTATACTTTAGGTTTGCCTAGTGGGGGGCTACAGTACCTGTTTTGAACAGAGCCCATCATACCATGACCCACACATAGGTATTTATACAATAAAATGATTGGAAGTGGGATATCTGTAAGATATGAAACCCTTTCTGCCATTAATGGACAGACTGTGGCTGCAATCCTTGGAAGCCTGTGCTGTGCCATCTCCGGATCTGTAGCTTTCTTTCTGGGAGGTTTAAACAAGGACATGCTAGCTCTTGGATTGAGAATGTGTTGGGGAGCTGTTTAGGATAATGGAGTACCCTTTTGCAACATGCAAAGATACCATGGAAACAGAGGAAGGCTGTGATTTAGCTGGAGGAAGAGGAAGTCAAGGTCAGTTTCCAGGTTGAATGACAATAACAATGGGATGCAAGTGGCAAAGGGTAGCAGAACCATTCTGTCAGAATTCCACACAAGAAGAAACAACAGCTGAAGACTATTTTCTTAGGCCAGGCAAGTTGTACTTTATCTGTAAAGTGCATATCCTCCCATAAATTAGTACTCTGGAAAAATCATTTTGGCTGCAGTTAAGCTGGTAAGAGCGTCTGCAGATGGAGACAATCCTGTATCCATCCTTTGCCTGTTCAACAAGTGCTTGCAACTCCATCCTTACCTTGATCCTCTTTGTTTCTGGTTCCGCTGTTACACCACTGGCTTTGAGATCTAAGTCTCCAATGCTTCGGGTCATGGCCAGTCTGCCATTTACATGAGGTTGTCCCAAGCTATTCCAAGCTACAAAACCACCACATTTCTTGATCCTGGACAAGGAGAAACAAAGACTAGAGATGTGATTTGCAGGAAGTCATATCACTGTCACTTAATCAAGACATTAATTTAGAGATGCAAATGTCCACCTCTTGAACTAGAAACATCATCCCCACGTAATGAGCAAACATGGGTAGTGGTACCTTTCTTTTTCATCTTTTCTTTCTGGAGTATGATCAATGGTCAGCTTCATGGGTTTTCCTTTTCTACACAAAATAGCCCGGCTGTCCCCAACACTGGCTACAACCAGTTCGATACCATCTCGCAATAGGGCTACTGTGGCAGTAGTCCCAGAGGTCAGAAGGCTTGCTACAAATATTATGAAAAAGAATAAAGTTAGTGATAGTCCAAGGACTGGATATAGAACTTTTATTACAAAACAAAATGCAAGCATGATCAACTAGTGCTGAGATGTACCATTTTAATTTAATGAAGTACAGCTATGCAAATAAAATGCAAATGAACTAAGTAACTACCAGCATGCAGAGAAATAAGTATCTGATTCAGAAACAAGGCTCCATGCAAACAGAAAAGGCTTTTACTCTAATTGGTCAGCAATGCATCCCTGCTTCCAAATGGTCTTTATTCATAGAAAGTAGACCTGACTTAAGCTTACAATTGAATGACAATTCTGCATGTAAAAGATTTAATTTAATGAGATCGGTTACGATGAGAGGATGGCTATGATCTACTGAACCCATCCAAGCAAGCTAACCTTTGTATGATCTATGGGTCTGGAAAGGTTTCTCTTTCATTTCAGATTCCTGTCCTATGACAGCATTAGCAGTTAAAAAGCTAAGAGAGATATGCCATGGGCATACCATTTGTTCCTCACATGCTAGAAGTTGTAGTGTTTAAAAAAAAAGTTGTTTTTTTAAATCTTCAAATGCTCATCAAAAAGCCCTATTATATCCAAAAAGCTCATATTCTTTTCTGTTTGTCCACCCACAACATGAAACAAAGTTACAGCCATTGTCATATTGGCAGAAAATATATGGGTTGTAGAATGAAATTCACTCTAGTTTTACCTCCCCTAGTTCCAGTAGGATCTAATACAAACAGTTTGTCTCCAAGTGTAAGATAGCCACTGCCAATGTCACTTCCTGTAGTTCAGCCTGGCCCCAGAGCATTCCAAGAAAATTAGTTACCTCTAATAACAAAGAGAATTCAAGGTTGCTGGGATCAAGCTTTCACTCTTTCTTCAACCAAAGTCAGACTACAGTTTTTTGCACTTGTCTTTGACTCACTCTGACGGTTTAAGTTCTTTACCCCATTTTAGAAACTTTTAAGGTGCATTGAGCCTTGCTGAAAGTTAGGACTACAGTGAATGTATGGGCTAAAGGCAAAGTGGAAGAAATTACAAAAGATGACCTTTTTAAAGCAGGTATGATGTCAGTACATTGTTAATTCTTTCGAATATCTAAATGAAATATGTAGGCAATTATCCAAAGATGATTTTGGCTTTAAAAGTTGATGTAGAGAAACTGAAATGCTATTGATTTGATTGATTAAACTCAATTTTTCATAATTTGTTTTCTTTTTTTTAAGAAAATTTCAAAAACTTCATCAATGATGTATTTTGGAAGATAATTTATATACAAATAGATTTGCCAATCAGTATATTAAAATGCCTGCTTTAATCAGAAAAATAAAATAAAGCATGTATAAATTCTATTTAATCTTTTATAGTCATGCTGAATTTACACGATTGAGAATTATCATTTATACTGCACTACCCTCCCACTTATCTCTTGATTTTGGAACTGTTTTACCAAAGTAGTAATCTCTACCATGGTAAAATAGATTATAAGTTTGTGATTGGATCACATAAATGTTTTAGCCAAACATCAGTGATTATCAGATCTTTCCAGTATCCGGATGACATAACAACAAAGAAAACATTGCAGCAAAGGAGGCTTTGCAGTTTAACCTACCATAATCTTTTCAAACGCTTCAGAGAGCCAGACAAGAGAATACAGGCGTTTTTCTGGGGGGGCTTTCCACCAAGGGAATTTCAAATCCTTGCCCCTTCCTTTCACTGTTAGCAACAGCTTTTTTTAAAGTGGATTTTAATCCACCACACACACAAAGAGGTAAAATTCCATAAATGAAAGTTGCATTGTTCAGGCTTGTAATTCATGGCTCTGCCATTTCAGGAGAGTTTCAGTCCTTACCAACCCCAATGTGACAGTTCCAAAATCCCAGGATTTATGGGGAAGGTTTTAAAACTAATGATTGATTCTGCTTTGCTAAGCATCTAAGAGTTTAAATATTAAATCAGCATTTAATTTCATTTAACATTTAACATGGAAGTAAAAGTTTTCACTGTTTGTCCTAACAACAAAAGTATAAAACTAAGACATCTTTCAATAAGTTCTTAACACTCACTGGACAATTTCTACTGCAAGTCAGTTCAACTAATGGGACAAAGAGGATGTGGCAGCCTTCCAGTAGTCCAGGCTAGGAACCGCTGGACTCCTTCACCTGGGACAAAATTAAGCAGATCTCTCTTTCCACTGAAGCCCAGCATAAGTGTCCACGGGCTCCAGGTCTAGAGCTGCTGACCAGGCACAGTTCTCTGCCACAAATAACACGTACAGAGGCAAATAGGAAATTCACCCAGGAATTGTGCTCAAACATTACAAACCTGCAACACAGGGGAGGACACAGAGAGAGCTGCAAAATAAGGGGAAGGCTTTTTACTTCGGTGAAGATGTCACTAGCAAATTTACATAAATATTCCAGGAGATGCCAAATTGACCATCTCAAAACTCCATGTGCTCAAGTTGATGGTATTTTGTAGTTGAATTTATTTTATCAATGCAGAGTAACACTGCTTACCCACTCTGTGTGGTGTTCAAGGGAGGAAAAGAAATGAGATGCAAATGCATGTGGACCAAAATACACCAGTGGTGACACAGATACATTGTCACACTCCCACACAGACCCCCATGTTCTCATCCTCTCATGTACACTTAAACACAACCAATCAATACTGGAACTTCATTGCAAAAAACATGCACTGTAACTTTGCTGCATTATCAGAGTAGGTCAATTCATTGGTTGTAGCGCTGAGTAATTTGTATCTGGAAAGCACTACCCAGTTGGGGAAGGATACTAACTACAACATACCACCAAATTATTAGAACTTAAATATAGAATAGTAAACAATCAAAGCACCTCAAGAGCAGATGCAAGGAGTAACACAGGAATGTTTATGGTGCTGTACACAGGAATTCAGGATCAAGGAGGCATTTTTTTTTTTTTAGTGTAGAATGATTACTTTAAACCCATTGCTCCTACACTCTCAGGTGTGCTTGTCATTTTATGGAATTCACACAACAGGTATTTTTCTGCAGCTCTCTCTTTTCCCCAGTGTTGCAGGTCGACACAATTAAAGAAAATTGATCAAAACTGAATGCCAACATAAACAGTACAAGCAGTTCTGTTCAGTGTTACAACCCCTCCTCCCCCGGTAATTATTCGACTGTGTAAATGATACGCATCAGTCAATCCAGTTTCAATGCTTATTCAAAACGGGTATCCAACTCAGGTGACTCATCAATGCCAACATCAGAGTAAGGAGCTGAAGCAGTAACAGCACAATAAGACTGTCTCCTCCAAGCTGTCCCCAGGGTGCTTCTGGCTGCTACTCCCAGCCAGTATGAAAGGGGAACTTAAAGAGGCTGCACTGAGACCCCCAGGGGTTATTTTGTGCTGTAATTTTTTCCATAAAGAAGTCACATAAGGGAAAGAATGTGAGAGTTTCCCATGAGACTCACAATGCTGTCCATCAATGCCTCCACTCTGAACGTCAGAGCAACGAGTCTTCTCTTTTTGATCCGTTTGTCCCCTGGGCAGCTTTGCTGCTTTCAAAGCTTAAGCAATCTAGAAATACTTTGAAGAGTTTACAGGATATATAGGATTATAATCTAAATCTCTTACCACCTGATCTATTAAACTAACTACAAACCATAGACCTGAAGAGGTATCACTCGAATTCACTGACAAGTTTCTTTAATCGGAAAATTACACATTGCTGGTACACATTGAATATGAACAACTCAAAGAGGTTGCTAACATTAACTATCTGGGGGGAAAAAAGGCAACTTCAACATGCATTGACAACAGATCCATAAAAGCAGCTAGCAATTTCTTAAGGGCGAAGGCGTTTTATTCTAGCTGTTTCGTGATCAATGGTATTCTGGTTTTGTTCTCTTCACCCCCAGTTAAAACTGGAACAGTAAACATATTAAATGCTAATAAGACAGCTTGAAACTGTGTAGTTACAGGTGACAGCTGTGGCACTGAAGTCTAAAAGAGATGCTTTATTATCACTTTTTTTCTTTTTTTAAAGAAAGCTAACATGAAATGATGAGGGGGCATCCTAACCACTTATGCCTAAAATTTCAGCATCAGAGACTCTGCTATGGTGTAAGCATCCCCATTCAGATTTCTGCTTCTTATTTTTCAAATTTGCCCATGAGTGACAGCTCATTAGAACACACTTTATTATCAACCTGGTTATGCGAGCTGCAGAATAATAATAATAACCAGTGAGAAAGAACAGGTTGTAGAGATGATGTCAGTCCAAATAATGAGTGACTGAGAAGCTTCCAGATGTTATACAGAGTGCTCAAGTCTGGAAATTCAAAAACAAAAAAGCCATAGAGCCTGATCTCACAGAAGGGTTCAAGAGGAGAAAAGGAAGTAATGCCAAATGAAAAGGTAAAAAGGAGTGGAGAGGCTAATGTTGGAGCCACACACTTATATTAGCTAGCACTGGTTCTACTGTCACTTATAATACTGATACTGCTTCAGTTCTTACTAAAATCTTTACATTTAAAAACACTTTTTAAAATAATTCTGAAATGTACAATTTTGGAAATCCACAGTTGAAGAGTTAAACAGCATACAACATTCTATCTTCAATAATTTTTAAAATATATTTCACAAAATAGACCCCAGGTAGATAAAGGCAATTTTTTGGCATCATTGAAAACTTTGATAACTTAATAAATTTTTAAATATTCTCAGAACAATTAACTTAAAAATGCAGACTAAGTGACTTATTAAAACAAATACAAAATACTATCTAATGACACTATTATAATAATAGGTTTTTGCTAACATACTAAATAGTCTGTCTTGCTTCACTATACTTTTACACAATGGTCATTAAATGAGAAATAAAATGTAAAGTATCTTATAAAAGTTGTGGGGTCATTACCTGTAAACATATAACAGAGGAAAAAATGCTTTAATTTCATGATTAGAAATGACATTTTTATGTTATTTACACAACTGCTTGATTATTTATGTGACAAAGCCACATTTAGAAAGTTTTAAGATACGGAAGTTAAATAAATCCTGTAGTTCAAAATTCCCTCTCATATCCTACACCAAGTTTTCCACCAATTGTTTTAAGTATCTTTTGGCTGAACCCATGAAGGGTTAATGTTTGACTGCTGGCCACATCCTGATATTTCTGAACATTCTCTTCTGAAAAGCTCTGCACTCAGCTTCAGCTGTTTACAGAACAGCTGGGGCATAGCACCTGCACCACAGCAAACAGGTGGGAGCTACAGCACCACTCATAGCTAATGTGGTTAGGGAGGAGACAAGAACACATCAGAATTCAAATTCACAAAAAATAAATTATCAGAAGCTTTTTGGTTTGCTCTTTCCTGGTTTTTACTCATTAAAAACAAAAGCTAAATCTTGTGCATGCAATTCATTTTTGTTTAACTTCTATCTTCTTAAAGGTGAGGGACCAGAGAAGAAGGGGTGGGGAGTAATCCAACAGAATGAAGAAAAGAAACTTGGGCTTAACTCACCTCCAAACTAGAGAATGAATCCCTGGACAAAGGGAGAGTGGAGTATAATGTTTTCGGAGAAAAAAAGAGCAGGCAAACTTCTCAAACAGTAAACAGAGGCAGACGCTCGGCCTAGACATTAAGATGCCACAGCCTAGAACAGAGTCCTGGGAATGCATTCCCAGCCCCTGACTGCAGCTTCCTGATACTGCATGTTAGCAAAGTGGCACAGAAAGCAGGGACTCCCAAAGTAAGGAAAGAGGTACAGAAACAGACAAGAAACCAGAGTGGACTCACAGTCAAATTGAATTTATTGGAGAAAAATCCAAAGAGGTGGCAGTTTGCCTGGCAGAGAAGCAGACCTCCAGTAAGCTATGCTTTTTGTAGGGATCTTGGGGGTGCTTCTAGGGGTGGGGGAATTCCAAGAAAAAGGAGGAGTGGGTGGGGACTGGACCAGCTTTTCCTGGGCATTTAAACCTTGGTAAGTCTTGCTCCCTGGAGGCAAGGAAATTCAGAGACTAGGGTGCTGGCAGGATATATTGATCTTATGAAATGTAATGTAAAAGTCCCTGGCGGGTGATTCTGTATTTATTATCTGGCTGGCATAAGCTGCAAACTTGCGTTCTTGCATTGCAGTGTCCTTCAGTGCAGATCCTAGAAGGCAACTGTGATGGCTCAAATAATTGGGCTCCTGCTATCCACACTGGAAACCTGAATTCAGTTCCCAGCATCCCACTTTAGCCCTAGTTCAGATGGGACTGCTGTGGGCACTGGGGCAGTGTGACAGTTCTCACTGCTGTCTCTCAAAAAAGAAATCATGGAAAAATGAAATTAAGACCTTTAAAATAGTTTCATTTAAAAATTTAGTAAATATAATTATCCTCCCTTCTCCTCATCATTAAACCACCACATGACAGAAACCACACTGGGTATCAGGAAAATGCCAGCCTGAGGTCTAAACTGACTTTTGACTCTCCTTGAGCTTATATTTCTTATCTGTGAAATGGGGAGAATTTCTTTTCTTGCACAGTCCAATGCCAAACTGTGAAAACGTATTTCATTTTTTAATGATAAGCTCAATAAAGATAAGATGAATCCTGGTTCATTTTCAAATCAATTTCAGGCCCAGGTGCATACATTCAATGCAGAAGTTTTCAAAGTTAACTTTGAGGGCAAAGATATGAGGGCAAGCTAAGTAGAAAATATTAGCTACCATATTACCTCAAATGGTCTTGGTGAGTTTAGTCAAAAGCAGAAACATTTTGCATTCCAAATCTAAGAGGATACAGTGCATACATTTTAAAGTTCAACTGGCACGTCTTGTGATTAACCAAAATATCACTAGTCACCACAGAAACGCTCTTAAGATAGGACTTTTTTAAGAAGTGGGGACAAAATAGCTTCTTTCTAATTATACACACTCGTGCTTATTCAAGATCTTGCAGCACTTTTCTTCTTGCCTTTACAATTACCGTCCCAGCTAGATATGATCATCCTGCAGAGTATTACGGCATCTGCTCGAGAGATGCATCCAAAGACACAGCCCTGATCCTCCTAGAGTGACTTCTTGTGCATAAAATCAGTAATTAGACACATGAAAACATTTTAAAATCTTTATAAGATTAAAATTCAAGAACTGAGCTGTATGCTTGCCTCTCTTTCCGTAAAACTCATAGTGCAGTACTGACATTAGTTTGGAGTCCACACAGCATTTCCAATGTTTACATAAGATAATTTCTACATAAGCTTCCTGACAAATAAGTACACATTACAATTCCCACCCCCAAAGGGCTTCAGTGAACTCCTCTGTGGCCTCCCCCACTCCCCGAAACCTGGAGGAATGTGATTGTTTTACATACCATCAGCAGACAGGTGGGCATGACTGGCAAAGGCTTTATCTATTTCTAGAAAAGCCAAGGTCAACACAGTTTCCAAGTTCTTCTCCTTAGGAAGCAAATCCCTTTGTGGGGAGGAAAAGAGAGCCCCAAAACAATCATTTTACAACAGGTTTCTCTGGTCACAGTCGCTGTGTCTACCACCATTTTTCCCTCATTGGACCCCAGTGCCTTCCAGTATACAGGAAGATGAAAAATTACACATGGTCAAAATTCTGTTCTGTCACATGTCCCTCCATTTTTGAACTCCAACAATTGTGTGAACCTCAACAATACTAATTGGGGAAAACAAATGATTTAAAGTGTCAGCATTGAATGCATTTCCTCATTCCCACCAACCATCCAAAGTTACTTTCAGCAAAGTCCTGGACCCAGAGCTTGTCCAGGAACTTAAACGAGCCAGGAGCAGTTGTGAAGCACTTATTATGAGCTTGTCATGAATAGGAATAACTGCTTCTTGTGGGTTAAGTTCATAACCAGAGCATTTCAGCACACTCATGGATAAATGGAAGTAAAAGATAAGTTTATTTCAGTGCAAAAAAAAAATGCTGGAAATCTATGCACATTGTCATAACAGGCATTTTCTGTAAACATTTTGGAGACTCCTGGAATTCAGATCCATTCACTTGAAATGCTAGACACCAGATACCACCTTCACCAGAGGAGTTAAGCTATGTATTTTAAAGACATCTCAGTGTGTGTATGTATATGTCTAATTTCACCTACTTAAAAAGCACACAGGAAGAGAGAGTGTGTACTTCTGGTGGTTCAGTCCCTGTAATTGGCAAGGTTGGGCCAGGCCAAAGCTAGGAGCCCAGAATTCCATTTCATGTAGGTCACAGGGGCCCAGGAGGTTGTCATCCTGCTGCCTTCCCAGGCTCATAAGTAGGAAGCTGGATCTGAAGCAGAGTAGCCACAATGGGGCTTAACCCACTGGGCTCCACCACCCGCCCCAGGCACACATTTTAAGGTAGTAAAGCTCATCAGTTATGAGTAGCATGCTGAAATTACTGCTTCTTCATGAAATGCAGTAGGAAACCACTATTGTGGCTGTGTTAAGAGGAAGTCTCAGCCAAAAGGTCAAAGTTTAAACGTGAAGCCTATTGCACAGCACAGCCAAGAGTGACAGTCACGGTACCTACAGAATACATTTCTCCATGTGGGTGTGGCAGAAATCAGCAGCTGCAGGTCCGCCATGTCCATCATACACCGCAAAGTAGAGGACCTCCTCCGTCAGCTGGGCAAAGTCCAATCGATCTTCATTCTCTTTCCGTTTGCCAATATGTGAGGCACAACCCACATTGTCCAAGCTGATTTTGGGAATCGGCTTGCCATACTTAATGCTGGGGGGCAGGAGAATTGGTTCGTCGATGCGGTTGTCCCAGATCCCAAAACTGTCCCAGGTGGCCGGCCGCCCACTGCCATCTGGGTCGAACCGAGAACACCGGGGCTGTGAAGTGGAGCTGTGACAGGTGGCCGTTAGGCGGCGCTCGTCCTGAAGCAGGCGGGAGGTCAGCAGTGCTCTCCTTCTCACTTGGTTCCCGCCACTGCGAACCAAAGTGATTAAGGCAGCTGTTGACATAACTCGGCTGCAAAGGACCCAGTGAGGATGCAATGGTCTGTGGATCAATGATGGGACGGCTTCAGGAAAATGATACCTGGGCAGAAGGTGGGAGGTAGAGATAGAAGAAGGGTCTCAGTTAGCAACTGCAAACATAAGACACATTATCTGATATCACTGAAAAACAAGAGTCAACAAGGTCTGCCAGGAAACACCTATCAGTTATATTTGGGTAGGTCCCCACCAACTTACTTCTCTTAATCGTAGATGAAAAATGGTTGCTTTTATCTTCCTCACTCACAGTATTTAAATATAATGAAAACCCTGCACAGAGCACTTCAGATAGAACCTGTTTGTCAAACTTCAACCTGCCATCACTAGATGAGCTTTTGAAAATGCAAATGCTGTTTCAGGCCTGAGATTCCGGTGTTAGAAACTGCTGATCTGCAGGCCCCACTTTCAGAATATGCAGTACAGAAGAAATAAACATTCTTCCTTTCATTAACTTCACTGAGCTGAAAAAAGGTAGCGACAAAAACAAATAGCAACAAAGTCCTTTATGAGTGCTAGAAAGAAAAGAAAAAGTAACTGGTTCATAGATTATTTACAATGGTTTGTACCAAAAGACTGGCCGCCAAGTTTTCACAAAGGCACAATCTAGAATCAGAGTTTTGTTTGACGATTTCTCAACATACTTCCTACTCTATGCCCATGGCTAACGTAAAATGGTTTGTGCAAACACCCCCTGCCCCCAACCCTAACCTCCCCATAGGCACAAGGATAAGCTGGTTCTGATGCTGCCCCTTATGGAAGAAACTCATGGAGAGGATGGGTGGAAATAGGTTTCACTGCGTTTGGGACAAGCAAGCAGCCTTGATGTATGAATAAGTGAACTATGCAATTCACTGTACCTGCAATCCCTCTTCCCAGATCCCAGCAGCACAGCCACACCAGAAACTACATTTCTTTAAAACTATTACCTGGCACGTCTGTTTTTGCTCTCTACTCCTAAACTCAATCCTAAGGCCTCTCTTGCCATTACAGGGTGTTATTAGGGACAATTTCTGAGCTATCTTTCTAGCAATTCCATACAAATTAGCTTCTAAGCAGAAAGTGATCTCTATCGCACTTTGTTTCATCATTTATGAATTAAGAAGCAACCTGACAAAATGGCATAACATTAAGATTTGATAATGCTGGTAGAGGAAATGCAGGTGATGTATTATTTTCAATATTAGGTTTGGGTTTTTCAAAATCATAAAGAAACTTAAAAATAAGAGGGTTATTTCCTGAAGAGGTACAAACACACATATACACAGTCCAGCTTGAGCGCATCTGTGCAAAAATGCGTTACAGATTTCAAACAGTTGCTTGTAAGTGAATTTTTGGAAATAAGTCTAGACAGGTATAGGAAGGTCATAACTGCTTTCAGTGGGAGAAAACATTAAAGAGAAAAGAGGTTCCAAAGAACATCCTTAGATATTTAAGCAATAACAAACTGGCATCACAGAGGTTAGAAAAAAGATGGCCACCAAAACAATGAATTATGTAAGCCATCTTGTCATGGCTGTTTGGGTATCATCATGCATAAAATACTGATATTAACTTCTTCATATGACAATATTGGAGTGAAGGAGACAAGTAACACGTGTGAAGAAGTGAAGGAGTTAGAGAAGTAACACACTGAATGACCAAAAAAGAGACATTTGTTCGTTTCCTACAGATAGAGCATTTGGGTGTCCCAAGTGGCAGCTTCACCGGCTGTGCCATAAAAGCTACCAGAGAGGTACTAATTCTTGATGGAGACAACTACAAAGCAGTTTTATACCATAAAGAAAGAACCAAAGCTTTTAAGTAAGTGTTTGTTATAAAGCATAATCATATTTAAGGAATGTACCAGAGATTACAGTAAAACACTATTATCTTGGTTTTGGCCCAAAAAGTGCATGCCATAGCCAGGCTTGGGCCAATCTGCAGTTGTGTACCTTCTTTAAATAAGAGTTTTAGAATTACAAATACAAATTACAAATGCTCTATATCTCTTCTAGAATACATTGTCCCCCCTTTTTTCTTTCTCTCCTCCTTGATCATTTTGAAAGCAATAAAATAAAATGTATTCTCAGTGGAGATAAGTTATCTGCTGGAAACATTTTTTAAGAATGAGAGAAAATGCAAGTTGAGCATTTTCTTTAGACTTGCATTGCCTGGAATGCATCATCGGCTTGGCTTCGATCCTGCAATTTATAGTCATCTCATAAAGTCAGCAATAGAATAGAGACAAACATCGACTCTAAGGAATAGGACTGGCAGAGATGAAGGGTGAGCCAGATACACTGGTAGTTTATCAATACCACATGACAAGGTCAGTCACTTAGGCACAAAGGAGACTTTGTTTAAGAAGCAGTTTGGAGGAAGATGGGGCAGGATTGGGGTGTTAGGCAGGGAGCCTGAAGAGGGAGGAAGCAAAACAACAACCACAAAAAAAAAAGTGGTTTCATCTCCTTTTCCATGTTCAGTATAACGGATATATACAGATCTACTCTGTGTTCAAGAAAAAAACATTAAAAGAGAATCTATGTATCTATGTTTCCAAGTTATGGAACAACTTGGAATTAACCCTAAACATTCAGAAAGTTTTGTCCAGAGATTCACCACTGATGACGTAATCAATCTGAAATATACTGAGAGATACACAACAAAAGCGAATAGTATATGAACAAGCTTCAACCTAAAAACTGTCCATCAGATCTTTCTAGTTCCTAATCAAAATTAAAATGTGGATATGTGTGTTTGGTGCACAGCTAAGACTTTTTTTAAATTCAACATTTCTATCTATAGCACTTTTGATATAAGTCCTTGTTCCTCTTAGCATTCCAGCTTCCTGCTCATGTACATCCTGGGAGGTAGCAATGATGGCCAAGTATTTGGGTCTCTGCAAACCACCTGAGATACTCAGATGGAATTTTAGGCATGTGGAGAACAAACCAATACAGGGAAAATCTTCGTCTCTCTTTTCCTCTGCCTCTCAAAAAAAAATACATATAATACATTTTTTTAAATTTTGGTGTCATAATTTGTCCACATGAGTTTACAGGAATCATGGATATACACATCCATGTACATGCATGCACAAAAATACCTATGCATTCTAGATACTGTTGATAAATAATCTCATAATACTTTCTCTGGGGCCAATGTGGTAGTTCAGCAAGTTGAGTCATGCAAAGTGGGCACAAGGCAATTCCCGGCTGTTCCACTTCCAATGAACTCCCACTTGTGCATCTGTGAAAGCAGAGGATAACCCAAGCACTTGGGACCTTGTCACCCAAATGCACCACCCAAATGGTGTTCCTGATTACAGCCTGGCCCAACCTCAGCTACTGTGACCATTCAGGGAATGAACCAGTGAATACAGGCATTCTCTCTCTCTCTTTCTCTGTGTGTGTACGCACATTGCTCTGCCCTCCAAATAAATAAATATATAAATCTTTGGGAAAAGAAACTAGTTTCTCTTTTCACCCGTCCATACTGACTAATGTAACCACACCTTTCCTGTCTTCCTCCTTCCTCCTCCATTCGTTGACACTCTGACCCAGAACTGTGACTAGGGGACACAGTTTGGACAGACAGGGATATCAGCAGAGAAGTTAGCTGGACGTTCACTGTGAGACTGTGAGGGCTTGCACAGAGATTTTAGATGAGAGCCCCAGCAACGGACCTCATCTCCAGAGTAGGAAGAAGAAAACAAAAAAGCACTTAGTTTGTGGCAAACGTTTGAATTCTGCTCCTGATTTAAAAGAGGAAACAGGGAAGAAAAAATCTATCTAGAGCTCCCAAGTTTGCTAGGCCAGTTTTACGTTTTCATCTTGTTCCTGCTTTATACTCCCTTGATGGTTAAAACATCTAGAGCTGTCCAAATGTATTTCTGGAAACATGAGCATGTCTCTCAGGCAGGAGGATGTACAGGGATTAGAATCTGTTTTAACTATTCTTGAATGCCAGAAGCAGGTCAAAAGGACAGCTCATTTCTATCACCCCAAGAACGTGACAAAACGAAGCAAGAATTCCAAGGATTGGCGCTACTAAAACCTGCGTAGATGGTATCCTTCTAGAAAAGAAATTTCAAAAACCATTCACACCCATCCATTATTACAGAGTGGTTCTTTATCAGTGACTTCCACAATAGAAAAATCACCCAAGGTAATTGTTAGTATTCTTTAACCAATGTCTCTCTTAACATCTCTTAAAAAGCAACCTCCTCAGAATGCTAGGAGGAAGGGAAAGATGATGTATCAGGCGACTGAAGGGCTAGTGATAGGCACAAAGGCCACTAAGCCTCCCCTAAGAAGCGCCAGGCGTTCATGTTTCCAATTGCAAATAGGGTGAAAAGTACACAGAACCACAAAACCCATCCTAATTCCACAGCTCTCTTTGGAAACATCCGAGTTCATGTGGACCCAAGCCACAGATCGTGTTTCAAGCCTGTAATTTCAGGCTCGTTTCAGAAGAACTGTCCCCTACATTCACTCCGATCTGCATCACCACCTGCCCGGCTCTCCTCCAAGATTCCAGGCAAGGCTAGTGCCTCTGTGTGTATATTCTGGCCGCGGTCAAGAGAAAGCAACTGTCTGGCTGCGAGACAGCAACAGGGGCGAAAACCCACAGCTCTAGGACAAGAGCACAAGCATTTTCTTATCACAATGGCCATCCGTGTCCAAATTCCACAGCCAGCAAAAGGCACCCCAGCGCCTGGTTCTTTGGCCACAGCAGCCACCAAAAATCCTCCGCAGGTTTTCCAAGGCCGAGGCATCCTTTCACGCTTTAGCCTGAGGCCACCCGAAAACCTGCCTCTTTTCTGCACACTCGTGGGCGAAGGATGTGGAGCACCTTAGAGACCCCGCTGCACATTTCCGGCCCGAAGTTCCCCAAGCCTAGCGTGGCCACAAAGACCTCTTGGCAATCCCCGAATGCCCTTTCAGTTCCACCTGCAGCCTCCTAAGAATGCTGTAATTTACAACTTAAAAAGGGGGGAGAGGGGCATCACCAGCTGCAAGGCCTCAGGACGGCAACAGCGCCTTAGCAAAAGCTACAACCCCAAGTCTTGTCATCAAAACCAAGCACCGCTCGGCATCTTCCTCTCTGCACCGACTTCCTCCTCCAACCATGCCCGCCCCGGCTCCAGAGGTTCGAGATTCTGGACTGGATCCCCGTGGGACCGCCAGCAGGACGCACAGCCTCGGGGTCGCCACGTCTCCCTCGCCCGTGGCTGCGAACCCCCTCAGCAGGCATCCCCCGGGGCCAGGCTCGGACAGAGGCCCGGAGGCCCTCCTCACCTGGCCCCCTCGCTCGCGGCCAAGTTCAAGGCCGAGTGTGGTCAGGAAAAGGAAACGTTTGCCGGCTGCCGGCTGCCAGCGGCACTTGCCAGGGTGTGCCCCGCCCTGAGAAACTGCTCTTGACCTCGAAAGAGAAGCAAACCGCGCCCGGAGCGCCCAGATACCGACCATAGGGGCTCGGCGGCTGGGAAACGGGAAACCTCCTCCACCATCCTCAGCTCCATCTTCTTCCCCTCTTTCCCCGCAGGGAAGCCGTCCTCCATTGACTCTCCACGCCCGGGGCCGCCAATAAATATAATTATCTATGCGAACGGTGGGTAGAAATAAATGAATTGCACCCGCCAGGTTCTCACCTCGCGTTTGGCTATGTCACCTGAAGCGCTTTAATTAGCAAAGACAGGGCAGGGCGTCAGGGCTGCCGTAGTGGGCTAGTGTCACTGCCCTCTCCGTTGTCTTCCGATCTCCAGAGCGAGCAGCCGAAAGCGCCACTGCTTCGTCTCATAGAAATTCTCGAAAAATATTCGCCAGCTGTGGGCCAAGCCAGGGAAGGGGAAAGTCTTTGCCCGCTGACGGACGGGCATCTACGGCCAATCGCGCTCGGCGAAGAGGAGAGCCTGGCCTGGAGCGCAGCCAATCACAAACCCCGCTGAGAGCGAGCCTCCCGCCGCCGTGCTCGGACTCCGCCTACGTGCGGGCGCGCGCGGCGGAGTGACGTCCGCTCCAGCCAATAGCGGCTCGCGGCGGTGTCCCGCCCCCCCGCGGTGGGCGCTCGGCCCGGAGCAGAGGCGCACCCGGGCGGTGGGTGAGGGGCCCGCGGGTGGAGGAACGAGACGTGCCTCTTGGGGGGCCCGGGAGCCGTGGTTGTGCCCGCTAGGACACCGAGCCCTGAATGCCAATTCTTCAATGGTTACGCAGCTGGAAAGGCATAGGATTTTGCTTTCGCTTCTTTGAGAAAATTCGCAGGGTAATATTCGCGGCAGCTGAACCAGCACCCGAGGGGGCTCCGAGTCGCTTAGCCGTCTCCTCGGAGTCCGCGGTCTAGTGAGGAGGACAAAAAGGTGGCACGTGTGGGAAAAAAACAAACAAAATCGAACCGGGTCAAGAAGTGACAGACAAGGCGGCGTGGATGGAGAGGATGGAGGGGTTGACTTGGGGTAGGGTAGCTTATGGGGCAGCTTTGTAAGAAGGCGTGTAGGCTGCTTCTCAGAGGGGGCGGGTCGTCAGTGGAGCCGCGGAACTGGTGGGGTTGTTGGGGGCGGCAGGGGCGGCGGAGAGATGGTCGCGAGGTGGGACGACTCGTCCTTGGGGAAGACAGATAGGAGGTCAGTGTGGCCCCGGCTCGGTGAGGCAGCAGAGGGGCGGCAGCGAGGGCGTGGAAGGCTCTCCGATGGACCTCGAATCCCTTAAGTTAATGTGTGGAGAACAGAGGGAACCGGCTGCAGGGAGGCTGGGTAGGACAGGATGGCTGAGGAGACTGAAGGTGAGAAATGACACGGCTTAAAGTGTACAGCTATCCGTGGGAGTAGGGCAAAGCAGAGATGAGAGATTTTGAAACTAAAAGGTTAGTTTATTTTGACATATTAGTGAAAACAGAGCACTTAATTAGCTGCCTGGGAGGTGATTCTCACATTCAACACACAAATTCAGGGAATGACCTTCAGGATTACTGTGTTGGATTGGCATTTAATTTTCATGGACTTCTTGGGTTTCTGTTTAGCTTTTTGTTTATGGTACACATGCAGAAAAAGCATATATATATATATATATATATATATATATATATATATCCTGGTAAATACTGTCCAATCTTCGCAGTCTGAATACAGCTTTATCCAGCACCAAATCAGAAGTCAATGTTTCTAACACCTGAGAACCCCATCAGAAGGCCTTCTTCCTGTCATTGGCTCATCCCAAGGGCAGATTCTATGTTGACTTTCACAATGTAGATTAGTTGTACCTGACTTGCTATTTGATATAAAATCATAAAGTATTCAGTCTTCTATATTTGACTTCTTTAGTTCAGCATTATTTTGAGATTTTTCCATGTGCAGTTGTAGGCTGATTAATTCCACACCATGAACATATTATATAATATATATGTATATATGAAAATACTATGGAAATTAAAGTGGAAATTAAATTAATTATGGTGGAGATTAAAGTGGTTTCCAGTTGGAGCTATTATAGACAGTGCTATGATGAACATAGTACCTGTCTTTGGCCAATGGCTTTTTCTTTTGATGGAGCATTTTAGTAGCTGAGTTATAAGTATTTTTATGTCCTCATCAATAAGTAACATATATTGAAATAACTATTTAGACTACAGTTTGAAGCAAATAGGAAAGGACTTTATTCTCAGAAATGTGAACATTTTTTGGCAACAAGGAATTGCTAACGTGGGAAATTTTTGAGCTTGGAAATAGAAAGTGTTTTAAATTCTCCTTGGAGCTTTGACCTCATTTTTAAGCACTTATAAACCGCATGCCCAACATTGGAGGACATAGTGACTTTGCTGTATCACTTTATTTTAATAGACAGTAGCCCACAATCATGTGGGAAGCAAAAGCAGTTAGGCTGTCCTGAAGAATATATTTGATAGTAATACAGTCTTTGAAATTACATTTTAAAATCAAACCATTCAATATCCTATCACAACTAAGACAGCAGTTTACTTCTTTTGAATTAGATGCTCTGGCTTTTGAATCTCAGAAGCACAACCAAATATACTCCAAAAAAAAATTCACAAGAGCTGACTCAGCAGTCACTGCTTCATGTCCCAAAAGAATCAAGTGAATTCAGCACTACATGCCTTCATTGTATACATTCTACTTTTAGCTAATGTTTTATAGAAAACTAACAACTATTGGGAAATTATGCCCAAAGTATGTCACAGGGCTTTGAATAGGGGACATATTTGAATGTGGGGACATATCAAAAGTAAAGATCTATGAGTCTGGAGTAGTTCTGTGAGGGATGTAGGTGAATGAGCCACTGGAATTCCACCTATGTATATGGTTGTGCAACAATGAACTGATAATTTTATTAGTGTTCATTAGTGAACAGTTTATTTATTGCTTTAAATTGGGAATTTTTTTATACTCAGAATCCACAATTTTCCAGGTAAGTATCATTTGCTAATCTTGGCCTCATGCCTAAAACATGGGCCTGGGACTCTAGGATATATTTGTCTACTCTTCAGGCTGTTCTGTCCTGAATTACTAGCCCAGCTGTCCCTTCTCTGTGGCACCAAAATAATTGCCAAAAGCCAGGATTGCTAAATCTTGTCCATAGAAATTCAATTATATTTATGGCAATATTTTTATTCTAGAATATTATTATTTTGTATCCCCTAGTAATTTACTTTCACAAATGTAAACTAAATAAATTTTATCCAGTGCTAGTGATATGTACATTTAGATAATCTATTCATTTCTACTTTTATTTATTAGTCAATCTGATCTTACTCAAGTATTTTATTTTACTAAACATCACTTTCTCATTAGAGCCACTGTGCAGGCAGTATATTTTTTTAAGTTTATCAGTCTGATTTTGATACCATAATGAAGCATCTGAAGCCTGCTAACTTTATCCAGAGGCCTATTTAGGTCACAGTTTTGGAAGTTCAAGGTTATAGCAATGGCCTTGGCTCAACTACAGTGAAGGCATTATGGGCTGTGCCATATCAAGGCAGAAGTACATATGGGAGGAACAGATCTCCTCTTGAAACAGAAATCCAGAGAGATGCTGGGCTCTGCAGTTCTTGACCTAAGGGCTTTCCACTAGGCCCCACTTCCTTGAAGGTTTGTGTCACCTCCAGGCTACCATACTAAGGGCCAAGCTTTATGCACATGACCCTTTGGGGGACACACACCATGCCTGAACAATAGCTGCAAGGTTAGGAACAAAATTGTCTTTTTAATTTAAATCACAAAAGCTCAAAATCAAAAAAGGTGATATGATAGGCATTGCTAGCACTTGACCAATTATTTCCTTCTGTCTCCCACCAAGGCAGTGCCAGGATCTTTGTGGGTTGTGCCAGAAGGTGACAGGGTGCCTATGAGCAGCTCTGGTCAATAAATTTTGAGTGGAAGTGGCAGAGTCATTTCTGAGTTGCTGTATCTAATGTTCCCTTGCAAGACCCTCCAAGTCTCATTTTGTTCTGCTGTTTCAGCCAATTGTGTTCCAGATAAGGCCACTCCCTTATGGAAAGAGTCCCATTGACAATCCATACTGGCTTTGGAGCCTAAGGACGAAACAAACTTTGTTGCCTCAAAACTTTTAACCTCATATCACATTCTTGGTCTCAATTGAAACATGTTAGTTCTAACTTAAAATCTTCTGTTTGAATTTCCTTTGAGGCAATTTTAACCTAGGAGACATTGTCATAAGTTACTTCAAGAAATAGCTATGAAATTTCTGCCATCTCTCAGGTGCTATGTTAGTCTCTGGGTTTGTAACTATGAATGAATGATATGAGCATGCTTTCTGCTGTTATGAAAACTGAGGGAACACAAGGAGACAGTAGACATGTGCCTAAGAGAGGTGAATAGTACAATTCAAAAAGTGTAGTGTTGTTATCCAGCTGTTGAATCGTATGCAAGGCTATCAAAAACGAATGGAGAAAGAAAAAGCAAGCTTTTCCCCTCTTCATATACTTTATTCTTGCTATTTTCTTACATCTCTGTATCTTTTAAGAGAGATGTATTTGTGTATTTGAAAGATTGATAGAACAAGAGAGGCAGTGTTATTATTTGAAGATTTTACAATTCATTGGAGGAGCTCATGAATATGAACTTGAAAAATAATGACAGTACAGGAAATAGTATAAATTACTATAGATACGTTTAAATTAATGCTGAGCTCTGCCATTTGCTGATTCCCTCCCAGGATGCCCACAATAGCCAAGGATGGGACAGGACCCTGAAACTGCATTTGAGTCCCTCACATGGTGGCAGGATTTGGAATTGGAGGCATAAGTAAGACTTGATATGAAATGTGAGTGTCCCTATCAGCAGCTTAAACTACTGCACCACAATGCCTACCCCACTTCTATCTCTTGCTAAGAAAATGTATCTTTTTACAGAATTTGAATTCAGAGCCTTCCAGGGCTCCAACATTGCTTTTGACCAATGTAGGGCCTCAGGCAAGCAACTATGCCTCTTTAATGAGCTATAAACAGCTCTAAAGATAACTTGTTCTACCTGACTTATAGAACTACTACAAGGATTCAATTAGGCAGAGAACACAAATGTTCCATAAAAATAGGCAGTGTTGTTATTCTTTGAAGATTTTACAATGCATTGGAGGATATTATGAATATGAAATTTAAAAAATGACATCACTGGAAATGTTATAAAACACTACAGACACATTTAAACTAAGATTGTACCCTTATAGCTGTGGGAAATGGTGCCAAATGACTTAGTGAAAATGGTACCTTCAAGGTTCTTTAACATTTATTACCAAGAAATGCCTATAAATGCACTGCTGTTCAAATGTGGCTGAAACAGGCCTGGAATCCCCTTATCATCCTCATGAAGAATATGCCATGTATACTTTTTTTTTGTCAGTGGAATCAAACACATGAATAGCTAGTTTGAGATTTTTGTTTTGTTTTGTCTTGTTTGTTTGCAAGTAGAAAACAGCAGAAAAAAATGTATGAGGTATTAAGAAAACTGCCATGGTTTCTGATATCTCCTGTGCTGGAAGTGTATACAAATACTTATAACCTGTTGGAGTTGACATCTAGTTTTCTAAACTGGCTTCTGTCTTAAGAATCTCATTCAGATTAGAGTTGGAAATCTCAAGGTAACATTGTGAGAGATGATGAAAGGCACATTTGTTACTGGTTGTCAAGCAACCAAATGCTTGCCTTAACTGGAGCGTACAAACATACCTTATTTTGTACAAGGAGTGGGTGTAGGTTCTGAGCTGCTTTTCTATTGGTCAGCTTCTCCTCCAATGGTAGATAAGAAAGTATTATTTTTCTAGGTAATTAGCATATTCTGGGAAAGTAACCAACTGTGTTTCTTTCCCTGGCAGTGTTAAATATAGACTTTAAAATCAGAGTTAGCTTTGTTTTTTTTCAGAGATGACTTTGTAAGCTATTTTGACTTTGGATTATTTAGATTTTTGTATGAAAAACTTATCTAGAAAATATTTTAAATTCAAATAAACTAATAGCACATAGTATTCATGATATAAGTACTCAAGAGATAAAACATATTAAAAATAAGAAAAAATACTTTTATTTAAAAAAAAGTCATCCTCTTATGGTAAAACCTGGAGATTTTACTCAGGTCCAAAAGGACAATATAAATTATGTTCCCTGACCCCCTTTCCACCTTTGCACAAGCCATAGAAAGCTAGATCCTGGGAAGAGGGCAAAGTCACAGTAGAGAACAAAAGGAAAAGTGATTGAGAGAGACGTCAACCTGCCCATGTGAGGGACAGCTCTGTTGCCTCAAATGTGACCTCTTATAGACTTTGTGAGATCCTGCCCTGCCCTGCTGGCCATGAATTGTGCTCATGCCTAGCTGTGCAATGCCAGCTGGTATATTGCTTCCCACCTGATATCTCTTTCCCTGGCCTTTTCCTCCTGCTGACCAGCCCTATCCCCTGCTGATATTTTGTCATCTCATAACATCGTTTCACAAAGCTTCACTAGGTCCCCCTCCCTAATAGGAGATTTAAAATCTCTCACATCGGAAGCCGGATTTCAACCTTTCCATCGGTCACTCCTATTCGTCACCAAACTGAGGTCCCACTACTTCTGTAAAGGGGCACTTACTCTACTCAGGTTTTTCATTTCCTAAGCCTACCATGAACATTCTTGCCTCTTTGGGTCTTTCAAAGGCAAATTTCCATTTTCTCTTCTTAGCTTTCTCTTATCTTGTCAGGATCAAAGTGAAAGGTCATGATATGATTAGCAGTTGCCTGTGGTTGAATCAAAACACTAGGATAAAAGGTATCAATTCATGCTGCAAGCAGAGATAATAACTGATAACCTTGTCAGGATCCTTGAGAGAAACATATACAGAGCGAAATCTTCAAAAAGTCTTTGGAAAATTAATTTACAGGACTGGGAGGGGGTTGAGGCAGCATTATGACACAGAATTAAGCTGCTGCTATGATGCCAGCATACACTATGGGCACTGGTTCAAATCCCAGCTACTCTGCTTTTGATCTAAGTCCCTGCTAATACCCAGGAAAAGCAGAGAAAGATGGCCCAGGTGTTTTGGCCCTGTCACCAGGAGAGGCCCGCCCACAGTCGTAGGCTCATGGCTTCAGCTTGACTCAGCCCTGAGCTTGTGGTCATTCAGGGAGTGAACCAGCAAATAAAAGACCTCTCTGTCTTTCAAATAAATAAGTAAATAAATATTTTTAAAAATGTATTTTGTGAAAATTAATGCATGATTTCAAATTTATCACATGAAAAACAAACCTATTTTTTAAATTCCACTTTCCATTGACTTCTTGAAATCCTTTTGTGTCTATGAAAGGAAGAGAAACAGAAGAAGGAAGAAATGAAGAAAAGTATTTCCCGCCTTGCCAAGTAGACGTTCGATCATGTTGTGTGTTGGAGATTGCTGTTTAGACGGAGGGAGAGAACATTGCTCCCCTGAAGTGCTGACATAGGGGAGATGGGCAGGTAGGTTCATTCCACCATATAAATTGAGCCTAAAGGGTGATTTTGATTTGGGCTTGCCTCTGGCAAGAGCTTTCCACGTGAAAGGAAACTGAAAACAGGAAAGTCACTCCTTTTATGAAGTGGGCTCATTGTATTTCAGTTCAGGGGATTTATTCTCCGTCTGTTTTTAGGAGCCTGCAGTAGAAAGCTTTATTCTGCAAGGATGCTGGTTTCCTGATGAGGCTGTTAGAAGGTAGAACACACTATCAGGCTGTGGATAAGGATCATGATAAAGCTGTGCTTGTACTCATGATCACTTTCACTTCTTGCTTCTGAACTCTGATGAGACCTCACAGCTCAGGACAGGTGCCACAGATAAATCCTTTGGCTTATCCAGAAAACAATATGATCAAAGAATTTGAGACCTGGGAGGTAACTTGAGACTCATTTCCTCTACTTCTCTTCTGTAGAAAATTCAGTGCAAACGCTGAGAGGTGAGGAGGTTTGCCCAAGACACTGCTGTCAAGGGGATTGTAGAGCAAACATCTGGTATTCCAGGCACATGCTGCTTCCACCTTTTCATCTGCAGGCAAGTATAACTTGTATAAGCAGAACAGGGAACAAGATAAGGAATCTATTTAAGAAATGCCCCACTTAGTAGAAACATTTTTGCAAAATTGGATCTATTTCTCCTATAAAACATGTGAAAAGGACTAACTGTGGGCAATATTTGAGGGTTATGAAAAGTTTGGATGGCCTCACACTTGCCTTTTCCCAAAGGCTGTGTAGTGTAGTGATTGAGGAAGTGACCTTGAGGGCACCAGCCTGCTAAATCTTAACTCCACCATTTACAACAGTGTGATTGAGGCCATGCTCAGTGTCCTCAGATAAAATGGAGAAGATAGTAATTCCCAAGTCATGCTTTCTAAGAGCTGATCTATTTAAAGGATCTGCCATCATCCTTGGCTCTAGGGAATCTGGTAAATTTAAGGTTTTGTTTTTATTTTTAAAAAGATTTATTTTATTGAATTAAAAGGCAGGGATGGAGAGAGGGAGAAGCAGAGAGAGAGAGAGATAGCTTCCATCCACTGATTGAATCCCCAAATGGCTACAATAGCCAGAGCTGTGCCAGGCAGGAGCCAGGAGCTTCTTCTGAGTTTGCCTCATGGGTATAGGACCCCAAGAACTTGAGCTATGGGAACCATCTTCTGTTGCATTCCCAGGTGTATTATAAGGGACCTGGATCAGAAGTAGAGTAGCCAAAATTCAAGCTAGTGCCAAGATGAGATGCCCATGTTGTAAACAGCAGCTTTGCCAGCTATGCTAAACTGTGTATAACTGCTTTGTTTGTTTGTTTGTTTCTGTATTGTTCAGGACACCCTACTTACTCTAGGCTAAGCTTGTCTCTGATGTTGTCTTCTTACAGAATGTCTCTTGTTAAAATATACCACCTCATTTATTCAGTAACTACTTATCCACTGAAATCATGTTTATGAAATGCATCTTCCTAGGTGCCAGGAACTATTCTAGGGGATAAAGATACAATAATAAATAAAACAGATAAAATCATTGATTTCATAGATTATACACTGTAAGAATAAAAAAAATACACAGATAAATGTATTCTTTGGTCTCTAAAACCATTAAGAGCGTGTGGAACAGTCACAGTGACAATGGGTTAAGGAAGGGAATGTGGGCTGAGTTAGGGAAGAAGGTAGGAAAGTCCCTCTGAGTTTGGGGCTTTCAGAGACTAAGGCCAACATGAAAGCAGGCCAAGTATTTCGGGCAGAGAAAAGGGCAAGTTCAAAGGCCTTGGCAGGAGTAGGACAAGGAAGCCAGTATGAATGACTGAAATTAAGTAGGAAAGATGTTGGATAGAAGACAGGTCCGATAGGATCTTACAGGCCAAGAAAAGCAATTTGAATTCTATTCTGTTAAGATCTTAAGGGAGAGAAAGTGAAAGCTAAACAAAGTTGAGAATTGACTTGTGCTGGGGCTAGCACTGTGGCATAACAGGCTAAGCCACCACCTGTAGCACCAGCATCCCATATGGGTGCTGGTTCGAGTCTCAGCATCTCCATTTCCAATCCAGCTTCCTTGAAAGGCAGCAAAGGTGGTCCAAAATCCTAAGGCTGTTGTACCCACTTGGGAGACCTGGAACAGGATCCTGACTCATGGCTTCCGACCTGCCCATCTCCAGTCATTGTGGCCATTTAGGGAGTGAACCAGTAAACTGAAGCACTCTCTCTCTCTCCCTCTCTCTCTCTCTGTATGTGTGTGTGTGTCTTTCCTTTTCTCTGTGTATCTCTACTTTCAAATAAATCATTTAAAAATAATTGTGAGTTAAAGTGGTCCCTCAAGTTGCTGAGCAGAAAATAAGCTGCAGGGAATAGGAGTAACAACCAGAGGCAGAGGGTTTAAAATCCTCTTAGGGGCCCGGCGCTGTGGCACAAGTGGCTAAGGTCCTTGCCTTGCACGCCCGGGATCCAATATGGGCACCAGTTCTATCCCGGCAGCCCCACTTCCCTTCCAGCTCCCTGCCTGTGGCCTGGGAAAGCAGTCGAGGACAGCCCAAAGCTTTGGGACCCTGCACCCCCGTGGGAGACCCGGAAGAGGCTCCTGGCTTCGGATTGGCATAGTATCAGCCGTTGCGCTCACTTGGGGAGTGAATCATCGGATGGAAGATCTTCCTCTCTGTCTCTCCTCTCTGTATATCCGCCTTTCCAATAAAAAAATAATAAAAATAAATCTTTAAAAAAAATCCTCTTAGTCAGGGCCTGGCTCAGTAGCCTAGTGGCTAAACTCCTTGCCTTGCATGACCCAGATCCCATATAGGTGCCAGTTTGTGTCCCAATGGCCCCACTTCCCATCCAGCTCCCTGCTTGTGAACTGGGGAAACAGTCAAGGACGGCCTAAGGCTTTGGGACCCTGCACCTGCTTGGGAGACCTAGAGGAGCCTCCTGGCTCCTAGCTTCAGATCAGATCATCTCTGGCCATTGCAGCCACTTGGGGAGTGAATTAGCAGGTAGAAGATCTTCCTCTCTGTCTCTACCCCTCTCTGTGTATCTGATTTTCCAATAAAAAGAAATAAATCTTTAAAAAAAAGGCCTCTTGGTGGAGTTGGCAGAGAATCAAGAGTTTTACCTTAGGGTTGTTAAGTTGGTGATACCAAGTAGGCATGCAATTTAGACACTGATGATTGTGTGTATTCCTCTGTTGTTCCAAGGAGAAGTCTAAGTGTGGAACGCAAACCCAGGAGTCATCAGTGTCTAGGTGGTCATAAAGCCACAGGGTGAGGTGACCAGTGGGCTGAGGATAGTTGGAAAGAGGAGGCTAAAGGTCAGAACCATGAAATCTTAAAGAATTAAACATTTGGAAAGAGGAAGAACTTTAAACAAAGGAGAAGTAGCATTAATGCAGGAGGAAAACCAATAAAAAGGGAGGTAAAAACAATTTTAAGAAATTTCAAGGAGACTGTGCATTTGTATCAAATAGAAAGTAAGTAATGTGAGGTCTATGGATTGAGGAGTGGGTTTGCCCATATGGTGGTCAATGATGAGCAGTTTGCGTGCAATGGAGGCACACTGAGAAGTAAGGAAAACTCTGAAAACAGCCTAGGGGTTTCAACTTCAGGTGGCAGATAGGAATGAGGCAGCAGTGAAGGGATATTTCACCATTAGTAAAGAGTGTAGCTGACACAGAGAGTTCTGGAGAAAATGAAACACAGGTTTGTAAGAGACAGAGTTGATTATAGGAGCAAAGTTCCTGAGTAGATGGGAAGAGATAGGATTCAGAGTCCAACTGGAACAAATGGACCACCAATGGTTCCTCTGTTTCATAGGAGACAAGACATGTTTTTGTCACATAAAGGGATGAAGTTCTAATGGAAGAATTTTGGAACTATCTGATGAAATAATGGGGGAAAATTGAGAGAAAGAGCTACTATATAGTGGCATCCATTCTTGGCTTAAGTGTATGGCTGGGTGCTCTCCAGAGGCTCAGAAAAAGTGGCGATTTATTACATTCTCAGCAGTGGACAGGTCATCAACAGGATGACCAATGAGATAAGGATATGAAGATCCAGTACTGGATATTACAAGCCACATGTTTGCTGGAGCAGTCCCAATTTCCAATGGAGGCAATTCCCAAGAGACAGAGTTTAGTTAGAATCATATAAGTTGATATATTTAATGCCTGATGTCAATTGAAATGTCAACAATAGCTATATACCTTTATAAGAAATACATAAGTAAATTCACACATGAGAATAAAAATTGTTAATGATCCATCCATCCATTTTTAGTTATAGTTTCTATGCCAAGCAATATGATAGATATTGGGCCTACCATCCTCTGACTGTTAATGAAAAGACTGGAACTTGGGCCTGGTGTGGTAGCCTAGCGGCTAAAGTCCTCACCTTGAACGCACCAGGATCCCACATAGGTACCCATCATCTCCTGGCAGCCCTGCTCCCCATCCAGTTCCCTGCTTGTGGTCTGGGAAGGCAGTCGAGGATGGCCCAAAGCCTTGGGACCCTGCACCCATGGGGGAGACCTAGAGGAGGCACCTGGCTCCTGCTCCGGGCTCCTGGCTTCGGATTGGCTCAGCTCCAACCATTGTGGCCACTTGCAGAGTGAATCAGCAGATGGATGATGTTGCTCTCTGTCTCTCCCCCTCTCTGTATATCTGACTTTCCAATTAAAAATAATAATAATAAAATAAGTCTTCAAAAAGGAGAGAAAAGAATGCACTGGAACTTGCATTTAGAATTTCTTTGATAATATATTTTCCAAAAGAAAGAAGATGAGGAAAGGTGACTCTCTCAAGAGCTGACTTTAATTATTATTTAACACATCATAGCACATAGTTTAACATAGAGATACTTCCACGAGGTGAGATCCATTATGTATGGTGACAGAGGCAGCTAAATGCCCAACTGCATATCCTTTCTACGCCTCATACTTAGTAACAGAAACTGATTTTTGTATGAGCTCAAGCTCATTGTTGACCAAAATATAAGCTAATTTCATAACTTTATAATGTAGGACTTGCTGCTGAACATAAGCCAATAAAATGCAAGTAGAAGTATATAGACATCCAGAAAGTCACAATAGAAGAATACTTCCACAATTTTGTGGAGAAATGGAACTAAAAAACTTACTTTGATATAAAAATCTTTTGAAATCCATGCACAGTTTTTTTAAAAATAATAAACATTTTGTCTTGACGAACCACTGAAATAGGGAAGGAGGCAAACAATTCTGTTGTTTGCCATTGCTTAAAATGTAGACATGCCAGTTGGAACTCAAATATCAACTTGGATCATTAGGTGAAATGGTAAAGATGGCATAGCAATGAGGTAGAAGGTAAATGTGAGGCAACAACCAAAGATCTGAGATATTCACCTTTGTGTGTGCACATCTTTTAATACCAGAAAGTAATCGCCTATCTTCGTAAGAAAACCCCACTAAAAGTTTGGGTTTTTCTGTTACCTGTTGCTAGAGAAAATAATAGCCAATGTACTTTTAAAAAAATCATTGTAGATGGCAAATTCCTAGAAAAGTGTTTATATCCACTAGCCACTCAATAAATATTTGAGGAATAAAT